GGGGTTGTGGCGAGGCTTTCCCCCTCCCGCCCTCGACACAGGTTGTTGGGTCGGGACAGCAAACGAAAGGGGATTTAGTAACAAACAACGGCGGCCATGTTGAGAGGAATTTCTGCAGCTAAACTTCTCCCCTCTCAGCCCAGGGGTTTCTGTGCCTCCCTGGGGGGCTCCCTGGCCTGACTGTGTGCCCCCCTCTTTTCTCCCTCTCCTCCCCCGCAGGATGACAGTGAAACTGGGAGAGAGCAGCGGGGAGGAAGGGGTGAAAAAGCTGGGCAAGAGAGCAGGAGGAGATGAGGAGTCCCTGGAAGAAGAAGGGGCAGGAGGAGGAGGAGAGGCAGCTCCAGGCAGCAGCAGCACAAAGAAAGAAGAGAAGATCATTAATAGCAACACTACCAGCAGCCCCCCACCGAATCCCAACTTGTCACCACCCCCTGCCTCTCTCCAGCCCTCACAGAGCCAGGACCAGCATCATTTTCTCAGGTCCAGCGTCAGACCTCAGAGCAAGAGATTGAAGAAGGATTCCCAGGCATCCTCCTCGGTTGGCAGCAGCGCTGCGGGGAAAGGCAAAGGTACAGTGTTTTGACACCCTAAAAACATGCAGGCAAGGGGGATGGCAAAGGGGAGGCACCTGTGGGGCTGTGGATTGTCATTGTTTTTCTGTAGATGCCATCTTTTGTTTGGTTTTGGGAAGGTGTTTTGGGGCTTATTTCTCCTGGCTGAAATCTGTGTCCCAAGGCTTCAGCTTCTCTGCTGCCCACTGTCCTCTCTGCAATTCCAGAAATGGGGGTTCTGGATATTTATGTGGTAGAAGAAAAATTCTACATTATTGAAGCAGATCTTTAATGGCTTTATTTCATCTCTCTTGAGTTTTGGGACATTCCTGTATTTTGATTAGGAAATCAGACTCTTAACTAGCTGTGTAATCAGGTGGCTGCATTCTGAATTCTGTTTTTGGAGAGTAACAAAATATTCACTGGGTGCTAGTTGGCATAGGGAAAAATCCCATCCATGAGACATTGGTGATTTCCCCCAATTATTTCTGTTATCCAAATAACTATTTTGGAAACAGCAATGAAATACACATATTGACATATTTGTTTCTAAGGTATTAGGAGTCTTGTTTCACTGTTTCAAAACAGTTGGGCATCTATGTGATTTGAGTTTTTATTAAGATTGGTTTGTATACCTCTGAAAGTCTATAGGTACAGACATGCACACCTGCTTTTTCACTTAGCATTGGAGACAAGAATATGACTTTTTGGGGGAGCTGTTTCTAACTGAGTAGCTGGAAGGCAGCAGGGATATTTGAATATTTTTGTGCTATTGTGTGTGCTCAGCAGTGACTAGATTACATCTTAGCACTGCAGTTGAGCTGTACTTGAGCCTAATTTTGGATATAATGCACTAAAGTACTCCTCTTATTTTCTGTTAATTTTTGAGAAGAACAGCGCTCAAAGATTGCATCAGCATTTAAAATAATTAAATTTACTCTTCTCTGCTAAATTGAAGTATAATTCCATGTAGCATGAATGTGTCTTGGTGGTTACCTCACTCTTGTACATCTCAGGAGTGTGCATGTGCTGGGTATTACAATTATGAGTTTTGTTTTGCAGTAATAAAGCAGTGCAAATTCGGATATTTTAGTTATTATTATATCAGAAAAATGTTCTTGAACTCAGTTGCTTGACAGTTGGTATAATTGACTAGAGTATTTTTAAATACCTTAGTAAGTCCTCTTTAATCTCTTGAACGTTAAATGAAAGTTCTGTGTGGTGGTAGAGGACAGAACAGAAAGGCCTACATAATTTTTCTTCCAATTGTGTGAAACCAAATAAACAAACAAATGGAATACCCAGGAGTGTTTGGCTACGTATAATTAATTCCAGGATTGTAAGTAGTTATTAGATGTGAGGAGGTGTTTCTTTGACATGTCTTGTCCGTGATTCACAAGTTAAATGTCCATTTGAAATTTTTCAATAGATTTGGAAGTGCTTACATGTGTGAACAAATACATATGTTTGTGCAAGCGTATATTCATGTTTGTATGTGAACATTTATTTCCAATTCTAGAGCAGTGGAGTGTTTTTTAACAAGGAATATCAACACAATAGGAAGAAATTCTTTCACTTTTGCAATTCAAATTCCAAAACAAACATAAGAAAATTACATACAGAACAGAAAATACTATCTCAGTAACCAGTCATGGGTGGTGTTTGCAATCACTGTACCATATTGTCAGGTTTGTGAGAACTTCTTCAATTCATCAGGAGTGACAGTGGTAGAATTATGACTGTGCTTTCACTTTTTCAATTTTAAGACCAGCCACAACTCTGCCTGGACAGATTTGGTGTGAATGTATCCAATTGATTGAATTCTCTGATATGGTTGAGATTATAATTGTCAGATTTTGGAGAACAGAGCCATGAAGTGGGATCCTTTCTAATTTGAGTTCTTCATGTTGGGAGATGCATAATGAGAGGTTTTCCAGGCTTGTCTAATTCTCCCTAGTGAAATGCATTTTGCTCACAAGTCATAGTATTCTGTGTTCTGAGCAAAGTGTCTCAGAGAGCCAGCTTCTGATATGAATGGAAGGGAATGAATGCACTTAAATTCTTTCGTTAGCTGTCCCACTAACTTTCTCCTCCCTTTGTAAGTATAAAAATGATGAAAAGCTGGAGTGCATCAGCTCTGAACCTGGAAGCTTTTGGATTATGTCAAAGTCAAGGTGATGGCTGCACAAGTAACTCTGGCAGTGGCCAGCTGGAGTGACCAGGCCATGCCTATGCTTGGTCCAGTGAAACCAGAAACTTGTTTTTGTCAATAATGCAGTGTAAACTTTAACATTTTTTTAAGTGATTCTACTTCTAGAGCCTCTGTATTCTGAAGAGAAAACTCTCACTTGCCAACTTTTAAGGAGTATGATCAATGCACTTTCTTTCAAATTACAGTTGCTCAGCAGTCATTGGTTTGCCTTCAGAAAAGTTTTGAAAATAGTATTTCTTTTTCCTGTGTGTTGCAAATTCCTTTTTACTTTTGGCATTCATGCTTTTAGGGTCCTTAATTGTAGCAGACGAATTACTGATAAACTTGGCTGTAAACTAAAGAGTGTGCCCACTCAGCAGCTGCTGACTTTTCAACTTTATCTTACTGTGGTTCATGGAAGCTTGCTCATAATAATTCCCAGGTTCTGCCTCGTGGAGTGTGTAAGCATGTTGCTAATAGTCAGATTGCACTGATGTAATCTTCAATTGCACCTTCGAATGCTGCCTCTTGCTTTTTGTGTAGTAAGGTGCACTTTTGAGTTTAGGGCAAAAATTGCATAGGAAGTAGTAAAGTAAAGTTTGGAAACTATTTCACTTCAGTAGCCAATCCATTTGGAATTGTGGGAAGGTTTATCAAATTTCCTTCACAGGTATCTAAATCTCTGCGTTTTTTTGGAATTATTATCATATTCTTTTCAACTGTTCATCACCTTTTAATTGTATTTTCAAGGTCGTAGTCTACACCTCAACTGAGGCGTGACTTGTGAAGCATGAAGTCTTGAAAAGAAGTCTTCAAGTAACTTGCATGAAACTAGCAAGAACTTGAAGGACTAGTGGTGTCAGGACAGTTTATTGTGGGAATTCCAATGCAGAGAGGCTTGTTGAGCGAGGAGATGCAGACCAAGTGAAGGTTGCTGAAAAAGAGGGATTTCTGAGAGTTTGCTTCTCAAACACCAATATACCACATGATTGCTGAGCACAGGTGTTAAAGTGTGTTTTGGGGCTTTGGTCCATGAAGCCAGAGTGGATGGAATATGTGTGTGGGTATGTTTTGATGACGTGGGTAAAAGGCAGTGTGGCACACATTGCCATCATGTGCTGTAGATGTAGCTTGAACTAGAGTAGAGTATTACCATTTCTATGTTTTTATCCATTTTTTGAATGCAGAATTAAGTCGGGAGGACCAGCCTCATGGTGATGAGCTGAAGCTTGAAGATGTCTTTTGTGCTGGATTTTTGTTCTGGATTTATTCCTAAAATGTGTAGAATGGCTCAAACAAGTATTTGGATTTGTTTTGCTATAATAAGCAGTTCTTTTTTGAAAAAGGACTGACTCAACTGAAAGCTTAGTTGAATTAAAGTGTTCCATCTTTTGGCATGGTATAGAACTTGCTAAAAAGCAGTCTAGTTTGTTTCAGCTTGCCAAAGTTTCATGTTCGGTAGCATGTGGGTTAAAACAACTACTGTTTCCTGTAGAGGGGATGTAGATACCAAAAAACCTGATGTATGTACTTAGAAAGTGTTTTATTGTATCTTCCTGAGTTCGTATGTTGCAGAATGTATTGTAACCGTCATTTGAGATGTTATTCCTCCAGCACTATTTCTCTAGGACGTGAACCATTGTTTAAAAACTACCTGGCACAGTCCCTTGTTCTGACATTCTCCTTAATTCTATCCATCTCACTTGCACTTAGTACCTCTCCTTCCATCCTACCCTGACATGCTTTCATTCATTCTTTGCCATCCAATTTACACCAGTTCTCTCTCTCTCCCTTTGGAAGTGGCTCAGGACCAGAACTCCACAGTATCTCATCCTGTACTGCAAGAGGAGGATTTTCTCCTGTGCAGTAGGTACTGAGCTCTGACAGGTACCTACTTGAAAGGCTGCATGGCCACAGGGTTAAGTGGAACTTCATACTTAGCTTTATGGGTGTTCTCTTCAGGAAGAGCAAGAGAACAGTGATTTACAGGAGGTGGGGGAGTGATCAAATATATAGTAAGCCATGGGGGACTTTTTATAGCTCTTCTTGGTTAGCTCAGATAGTGCTGCCTTTGATGCATTGTATACTAAATATATCCTGTCCATAGAGACCAAGCCTTCAGTATAGGTTTGTTAGAAGGCTGTGATTGATAATTGGCACTGTGTGTGCTTTAAACACATTCAGCTACCTCTAATTTTCTAACTAGTAACAGTTAGAATATAGGCTACCACTGTCCGTGTAGGACAGTTACCAGTTGAGCCTGAGATTAGCTGAGTTGGTCAGAGCATGGTACTAAGAATGCCAAGGTCACAGGTTCAGTTCCTGTACGGGCCATTCATGTAGGAGTTGGACTCCATAGTCCCTGTGGGTCCCTTCCAACTCAGAATATTCTGTGCGTCTATGTTTCAAACTTTGGATGTTCACAACAAGAACGCTATATGGCATAACCATGCAATAATACATAAGCTGTTCTAGGCTCACCCTTCTCAGGAGTCCATGCTATGTCCTGTGGAGGCAGGGTAGAAACTTCCTTTGCAGTTACAAAGTTAGCAAAATGAAGTGTTGACTTTCCGGGAACTTGACTGTTACAAGTCGGCATTTGCATCCTGCACTTTGGGAAGTGAGTTAATCTTGACATTCTGCATTTGAACTGTAGTAGGCAAGAGTGTGAATGCACCATCCTGTATGTAAAGGTGTTCCCAAGTGAATGTTCCCCCTACAGTGACTGGTGATTCCTGAAGACGTTGAGATGTTGTGAGCTAAGCCTGTAACCCAGACTGTTGGGATACAAGGGTGTAGTGAGAATTTACTCTGGGGATTCCAGCTTCTGTGTGTGTGTGTCATCTATCACAGAAGATATGAATCAGCTGGCCTGTAAGAGCTGTCAGTGGAAGACTGAAAGGCATATTCTGAGATGCTACCTAGAAGGAAGAACTTGTGGCTGTAACCACAATGAGATCCTGATACTATCAGTGTCTTGGTTATTTTAAATGTGTGTGTTCCATTGTTTGTCGTTTTCATATCGGATTCTGAAACTGCAGTCTTTAAATCTCTTTATATAAACTTTTGCAAGTGTTTATATTTTGCTTAGAACTACAGAGACAGCTGTTTCCATGGGGCTGTAGTTTGAGACAGTCACAGAAAGATTAAGTTTTAATAATAGGACATTTAGATGGGTAGAGAACACTGGACAAAAGGAATTAATAAGTTTCTTGGGAACACTGATGTTCTGACCCATGATTTTGTTGGGGATTACAGTTCAAATACTGAGTACAAAAACCTGAAGTCTTTGCAAACTGTGTATTGAAAGCTGAGGGAGAATGCTGGGAACTTATATATCCAAATGGCTGCCTTGTACCTTGTACACAGGTGCTGGTGCTCTGGCGCACTTGGAGCGAAGGGAAGGAGTTGTTATAGCTGTAGTGGTGTGGGTGTCTAGGTCACTGGTTGGGTGATGCGAGATGAGTAGACAGTAGGAGAATGTCCAGCTTGTCTTTGTCTTGTCTTTTCTAGAAATGATTTTACATTGAACAAACACCTGAGCAGGTTATTAGAGTGAGCCCCCTACTTCTCCACAGCATTCTGCAGTAGTAGTGGTGTAGCTGGCCTCAGAGGAGCTTCTTGTTTTAATGCATTGATGAAGTTTTAAATCATCCATTACTGGGAATTAATCATAGAATCGTCAATCATTGGTGAGGGGATGAAAGCTCATTAGCTGTTCTGCATGTAACAAGAATTGCATACAGTAAGATTGAGATAATGAATTTTTGGGGGGTGATTTATTGATGTATGACTGGTTTTGGTTTTTCCTGTTATCCTGAACTGGTCTATAGTTCTTTGTTTTAGAATTCAGTACATTCCATTGCCGTACCAAGGTTGAGTATACTCTAGGTTGGATTGAGATAGCCCAATGATAAGTATTACCATTCACAGTAGTAAGAAAGTTTATGCAAAGGGATGATAGAGCAAACCCCTTTGTTCCTGGAAGAATTGAATGGCAAATAAGAGCTCTGTAGAGGTGACAGGATATTCAGATTTTTAGATCTTCGTATACAGTACTCTGAGCAATTGTCTGGATGGTAATTTATGAAAGAGTTTAAAGCAAAAAATATTCTGATAAAATTCGCAGGAGTAGTTTGTCTTGTGGAATAGTAAGTGTGCATAAAGGAACAAAAGATCAGTTATGAGCTACATATCCTGTGTAGAAGTTGAATCCATGGAGTCCTCAGCATGTCCAATATAATTCTTCAGTCCATCTTTTACCTACAACTAAAATGTAACTGAAAACGAACTGAACTTTAAATTCTAATAAGACCATAAAATCTTCACTGACACTTTAGCTTCTTATGCCTTTTAATAATGAAAACTTTATGTGTACCAAGTGTACTGAGCAATCTTTAGAAAATCTTTGATGAGATCTGTTCTTCAGGCAGCTGACTTAGGATTTTATTTACTTTAGTAAGTATTAAAAAAAAGAAAAAGCCCCCAGAAACCCCAAACAAAAAACAACCACCCACCACACAAATGAAAGCCCCAAATCCTGCATTCGTTGTTCCTCTGAAGGATTTCTCAGAAGTTGGGGATCTGTGATCTGGACTGAAATCCTGTGCCTAACTTCTGATAAAGGATCTCTTTTGTGTTGGGAGCTGGTAGCAACACGAGATTGGAGATTGAGTTTGGGGACTGATGTGTTTGACTTTCCCCTTCTTGACCAAAGATCTGTATTTCATTACTGTGCAAATTGTGATATTCCAGTCTCACATTTGCAGAATGAAGAAGTGTCAGTTCTGTGTCTGTGTTGGGTTTCTTCTCAGCCATCTGTTAAAAGTGCTCAGTTTTTTTCTTGTGGTTTCCTTTTTTTTAAAGGATTTACCTCCACAGTGCCAGAATTAAATGGCTTAAGTTTCAATTATTTTATCAGTGGCTGATGAAGACTTTAAGAAATAAAGAAGCTGTTTATTTGAGAAGTTGTTTATAAGTGCATTTTCTTCTAGATGTCTAATGGTTTTTTATGTCTTGGCTTACATGCTTCCCTGTGGTGACAGTAATTTTCTTCAAAAGAGTCAATAGTCATTCCTAGAAATAAAAGAGACATTAACTCCAAAATGGTCACAATATCATATTTTGTATCAACTAAATATTTATTGTATGCAGGAGAAAAATGGACTTTCACACGCCTTGCTCTCTTCCAGGTTTGATTTCAAATATTCTCCATTACTTGAACAAACTACCTTCTCTAGGATTTGGAGAAATATGATTTTGTTGCCCAAAGGAATTCCTATCAAATTGCAATTTACTTGTTAAGATTTACATACAAGTTTTTAAATCTCTAAAGCATAGTCGGCCTGTAACAGCTGATTCTTCTTATACTTATGTCTTGGTTTAAAAGCAAAACCAGTGAGAGGCTCCAAGTCAGTAATACAATTTAATAGGAAAAAGAGAAAAAATAAAATACATGCAATAATACAAAAGAAAAACCACCGACAGAGTCAGAGTACAACCTGACACCCTGTCAGTCAGGGTGTTGGTAGCAGTCCGTATGAATGGTGGCTGCAGTCCTCCTGGATGACAGATGTGGTTCAGTTGAAGCAGTGCTCCTGTAGAAGGTGCAGTTTTCCTCCAAAGGTCCAGCGATGATGTGGAAAAGGTCCGACTTTCCTCTGGGATCCAGTGGAAACGGCTGCTTTCACGTTCTAAACCCCAGTTTTTTATCTAGGTAGGAAAGGCTGGGCTCCTCCTCCTGGCTGCAGCATTCCCCAATGGGATGATGTAATCTTATCAGTCATACAATAGGACTTAATGGCCCATTAACCGAATATATCTTCTGGAGGAAGGATGGGTTGTGAAAAGATAACAATGATCATCCCCCTGATTTTATCAGATGGCCCATCAGCAGAGGTTATCTCCCATAGAGATAAGGATCACCACCCCTCCCACATTTCAACAGATGGTGATAGAATACACACTTTTGCATTGTACCCCAGGACAACTTAAAAAAAATACTATAGAATTATCAAAGTGGGATCTCTGGGTTCTTGAATGCGATATATATGTATGTGTATATATTAGACACTGGCTTTGTCAGGTAAAGCTTCATGAAGTTGAGTTTGAAAAGATAACTGGACTTTTTAGGCCTAAATATGAGAGAGAGAATTATGCTGATATATATAAAAATTAGGGAAACTGGTTGGGACTGCTGTATTGTACAAGCTGGGTGTATAAGCAAATAAACTAAGGCACACCAATATATCATGAGGTAAAACTCAAAGCATACAGGCCAGTAACTGGAGAAAAGGAAAGTGTAATGAGCATTCTTTATAATGAGCAGTGAACGTTTAGTGTTAAAAGGCTTTTGTTTTATTAAGTATATGTCTGCATTGATAAAGACAGTCAAATCTTAAATAATTTTTTAAAATAAAATTAAAGATAATTTATTTTTTAAATATAAATTACTGGGAATGGTTATATTTTTACAGAAAAAAAAAAAAGAGTACATTTTGGGGAGTTGACCCTGGTTTCTGTATTAGCACTCTGATTTACAGTGTCAAATCAGGTGTGATGTTTTGTTTGTAGATTTTCCATCCCATTTTCTTTCCAGGTCCCTACTTGAGTAAACAGCAAAGTCTTTCTGTTTTATCTGGCATTATTCTCATTTTAGTATTTCCAGTCTTCATATCTCTTTTTCCGTGTTCTTTGGATGCTGATAACTGACAAAGGGACAATCAAGATTACACTTCTATGCCTCTTTTTGAAAGCCACAGCAGAATTTGGGAAAGGAGAGTGGATTGAGACTTGCCATCCTTTGGATAGCTGGAGTTTTCCTAATGGTCCATGTCAGAGGTGATGCTCTGAGGGTCATACACTGTGGATCAGATCATGGAAATTCTGACCCATTGTCATGTGATGAACTAAAGCCCATGTCTCTCAGTCCTTCCCTTTCCACAGTTTTTCTGGAGGCAGTAGGATCAAGACCCAAGACAAGAAAGTGACGTTCTGCCTATTTTCCTCACAGACATCACTTTGCTCCATTGGTCAGCTCTCTGTTCAGTACTGCTCAGGAGTTCTCTGTGGCTGCAGGGCAGTGACTGCAGAGCTCACCAGCATATAAACATCAGAGAGGGTTATCTAGTAGAGGCTGCTATGATACATTCCTGCTTATCTGTGTTATTTCTAGAAATACAAAATGAAGCCATTGAGATCTTCCTCTAGCTTTTTTGCGCTTTGAGATTTTATTCCTATGAAACAAACCTCGTTATTTGCCCATTGTATTTCAAGTGATAAAGGAGAACATTCTGAGTTACTCCCTCACCTCTATCCATGGATCCTCCTTTTG